GCCATAGCAACGCGAAGGGCAGGAGGCCACGTGTTATCGGCGCGTGGCGGGTTCAACGCGCCTCGTTTGCTGTGGCTATCGCGAAGAACGCCAATTACCACAAACTGGGACTTGGAAAAAGACTTCGGAGGTGTATCAGAAGCTTCGCGTGTAGAACGCCGAAGATCGTGGGTGTGGGTTGTCGGTATGGCGGAATAAACCTTCTGAGTATCTGCGTGTTATTTAATTAAGTCGCGTTCTGAAACTGCACGGCGATTTTATATGTCTTATGGGTTCATGACGTTAAATTAGCCCGTGTAACTTCGCTGAATCTTTGGTCCCTGTGTTCTTACAGGACAATTTCGGTTCAGTTATACGCGGATGCATATTTACGAGCGACATTTTGGTGTGTGTCGTCACGTGTCTTTGACAAATTGGGGGTGTACAACGGGCGAGTAAAAGTTGATGAACACTTCCGTATAGACTAATCCAGCTGAATCCAATCTTTACTCTGTTTATTTATGGCATTTCTCCTTTACAGCATGCGACGTTCAGGAACTGAGGAAAACCAGTTTAAATATCATAATTATAAGATGGCTGTCTTCTGGGTTGTATAGCCTTGTACTCTGATAGATGTTTACCATTGTCTCAGACGTAATTTCTGGCTTGATAATTAGGGAAATGAATCCTGATTATGGAGGCAGCAAGGACCTGTGAAACGTCTGTAAACTTCTACCACCTTTCAGCCACCTTACACGGCTGGTAGCCCGAGAAGAATTTATTATTCTACCAGACTGCACGGCGCTCCAACCCAGAAGATGGCGATCTTCGGGCTCGCCTCCGTGAGAACCGAAAATCCTTCCTCAGAAGTAATTCTGTACCTCGCCCCGTTTACGCTGAACTGAGCTGGGGATCGTCGTGCGTGTTAGTGGTGCAGCTGCTCCGAGCGAACACACGAAGTGACTTGCCAGTAAAACTGGAAGTGTAGGCTATAAATCGACCCGTGCGAGTGGCTCTCGTGAAAGACTAACGAGTTACTGGCAGTTGTAGTTCGTAAATATGAAAACAGTTTATCACTTGTTGCCTATACAGTTCCGGTAATAGACACGTTGTACGAGGTGCGATCGGAAAATTTCCAGACTGTGTCAATAGAGGGCGAACCGGATGTAGTACG